ACTCTCTGCCATATAGCTAGTATATTGAGTGTGGCTTTAAATAATACACAAACAAATAACAAATGTTTGACTCTCCTTCTGACCCATCCTAACCTGTAATAAACAACAGGTCCTTTGAAAAGTAAACATATTAAAAATATAGAACTGTTATCAACTCGCTCCTTAATGTTGCATTCACACCATGACACCATTGGACTCTTGAATCACTTCCTTGATTTCAAACACTTACATACAATCCTGTTCTCGATCGCAAATTATACATACATCTATCTACACAATTGGGATTCGATGACATTTGTCAAACAACAAGCAAGACTGACCACCTGATTCCGTTAGTCGCCCCTTACAACAAGCATGGGTTACTGAAGATCAATTTTAACCCGGATCTTCACTGGTCTCATGTGACAGTGTTGAACAGCAAGTGACTGTTATTTGAATAAACTTCTCCCCAGTAAAAAACGTTTAAAACGTCTTCTGGATTATTTCATCATCACAAACCCTATACCTGGGTTCCCTTATACACGTGCACAGTGTTCACAAACGAGGGGAGGATTGAAGTACAGACTTTCCAGCACTAAACAGTTAACTCCTGCTAACCTATTTTGAAATTATCTTGTGTTGTTTCCAGAGTCTATGAATGGAAGAATAAGAATCTGCCCATGTTTTTGTCGGACACCATGGAGTTCCACACCCGCCAGACTGTACAATGGCTGCGAGATTATAACAGTAGGGGGCCCTTCTCCCATGAATATAAATGTTTGGGACGACTTATGAGAAAATGTGTCCTCTTTGTCTTGCAACAGGCTTTTCCGTTTGCTTCATGGGGTATACAGCAACTTGGAAACCGGCCTCGGTTTATGTCAAGGGTTGTGATTAGCCTCTATATACTGACACAGGACAACTGGCCATTGAACCACTGGCTGGTCAGCCAATGAAATGACACCAAACTGTCAGTTGACTTGGAATGGGCACCAACAGGATCATACAACCTACCCTGACACAAAGTTTGGCTTTTTGAACAGGAAAGCCCCCACCATGGACAGGACAACCTGGAACTAAGCCCTGAAACCTGATTCTGACCCAACAATGCCTGCCTTCAAAGAAATAATTTAAACCTTGAGCTGAATAACATCTCTCAGTAGACCAGTTAACACTGCAGCCAATGGGTGACTTGTGTTGTTGTACTGGGGACCGGACACTGTACAAGCTGCTGGTCACTGTATGGGGTCGAGTCGGTCCTCACTGTCAGGGGTCAGTGGACCTCATTATCACCTGAACATGTACTGAACAGCAGGATGCATGTCATACCGTTTTTTATTACATACAGCTGGACCATCTCAAGATGGATGGGACACAGATCAAATGTTTGGTATTGGATGCTGAGAGGTTCCAGTTCAAAAAAATATCTCGCTTGACAAGTTTTTTTGTCCCAGATATATAATGTCCAACAATGACCATCTGAGGTCCTGGCTTCGTCCACTCATCCCGGTTTCTACTTCACCTATATTAAACCCTGTATCAAAAAGCTCATCTATAATATAAGTCCCACAACAGCAGGTTGTCTGGGATAGATGATACCAACTTTATGTCCACCACTTGGAGACCCGTGAAGGTCCAGGTTAGAATATTGGCCTTCAGTAACCCATGCTTGTCGTAAGAGGTGACTAAAGCTATCGGGTTGTAAGGCTCGCTGACTTGGTTGACACATGTCATCGGTTCCCAATTGCGCAGATCGATGCTCATGCTGTTGATCACTGGACTGTCTGGTCCAGACTCGATTATTTACAGACCGCTGCCATATAGCTGAAATATTGCTGAGTGCGGCGTAAAACTAACCTCACTCACTCACTCCACCACTTGGATATTATCTTGTGCGTTCTATATTATCATTGCTGACATATAAAGTAATATTTTATTACATTTCATATGAGTCACCATTAGTGGTTGTAAATGCACCATGCAGAGAATCTCACCTATGTGACTTCTTATACGAAATGTACCAACCCAAGTTGATAAATGTTTAAAACTACAAGGAATGCCAAGGAGCTTTAAATATGTAATGAGTATCGATATATTTGATATCAAAAGAAACACAGGTGGGATTCTATTTATCATCCAAAATCATTTTTCATTCTTTTAAATGATATATCAAAATAACCAGAATTTTGAACATTAACTCAAGAATTATAATATTAAAGTAAACTGAAATATACCTGTATATTCAACTGTAAACCATTATTATTAAATTCAAATTTCATTTTTGACCAAATTACTGGATGAAGTCAACCTGTGCCAGACCTCTCACATATTGGAGCGAGTTTGGTTTTACGCCGCTTTTAGCAGTATTCCAGTAATATCACGGTGGGGGGACACCAGAAATGGGCTTCACACATTGTGCCCATGTGGGGAATTGAACCCGGGTCTTCTGCATGACAAGCAAACGCTTTAACCATTAGCCTACCCCTCATCCCTCATCTATTGATCAAACATATTTCATGTATATATATCACCCCAAATTACCTCTCGTGTACCACTTGCTTGACAACAACATTAGAATCTATGTTGAAACGTCGCCTATACAGAATACAGAAGTTGTATATCCATAAAAATAGTCCTCATTCTTCATCTACCCAACATCTAGAATGCCAATCAATGAAGTCGTTAGGCTACCCCCGCTGCCAATCTTTTAAATGAAAAGTCAGAATAACTCAAATTTTGAAAATTAAATATATAATCATAATATCCACTATCAACATAAACTGAAACATCACTGTCATATTCAACTGAAAATCAATACCATTGAAGTCAAATTCATCTTTGGCCAAATTACTAGATAAAGCCCCCTATGCCTGCCTGACCTCTCTCTTATTGGAAAACACCTAGTTTTCAGATCTTTCTAAGGTCGTCAGCAAATTTCCCAGTGTCCCAGGCCCTCGATTTACATCCAATCAAGCGGAGGAAATCAAGGATGTCCTCTCATTCTTTAATACAGCCTCACAGTACTTCTGTCAACCTGAGGGAAATGGCTAACATCCCAGATCACTGATCCGTAGCCGAAAAATTCAAAAGATGTGTGGCTAGTTGTTTGCAAGTATGTCCTGATATACAATGTACAATGTGGGATTTGTTAATGGCATATAGAGCTGTCACCAGTCGGGAATTCAGTCCGTGAATCTCAGAGAGAAAGGCCTGACAATCCCAACGAAGAAAGGAGGACTTCAAATGAAGAGAACCTGAAGATGGCATCTTCAAACCCGGGAATATTTTCAAAGAAGGTAAATAAATTACATTCTGATTACATTTTATATTTATTGTACAGAAAGGTTCACTAAACTTCTTCTGCAATTCCCCTTTGTACTATTATTTCCAGTAGCCCTTTTGAAAGAAAAACAAATACTGTCATATATTTAAAATATTTTTTTCTCACAGATAGAGATGAACAGTGAACATATTTTTTTCTTAAACATGAGGCTAAGTAAATATGCCTATCCTCTCAGTAATAATTCTAGCTCTTTAACCTTTCTGAAATGTTTTACACTAACTGTGAATTTTTAAATGAGTTTAAGTCATCAGTGAGGAGAAATTTGTGATGAATTCATGCTACCTTACAATTTTAACAATTATTTGTGAACTTCATATTTTAATAAATTTACAAAAAATGAAACTAAATATTCAAAATCACAAACAAAGTGGGGACAATTCATTGATAACAACTGCTTTAATAAACTATTATAAAAGCAATTCAATGTAGAAACCAAAACCGAAATTCATACTAAAACATTTATCAAAGAGGCTGTAATCCATAAATAGCCACTCCATTGTCGTTCGTCGACTTATAAGACAAATTTATCAAAACACATCATAAATACTTTTTAAAATAATTTTAAAAATATCTGACAAACAACAACGTAACTCAAAGCATCAAAATAAAAATTTCACAACAAATAGTTGAACTGATTTCCACTCCATTACACTGTTCAAGGTAAGCACACCTGTTGAATTTGAAAACTGACCGCTGTGTCCCTAGATCCAACAGTGTCACTTGACCAGACAGAGAAGAGACAAAATGCCCAAGGACATTACGCTGAGCTTCTAACGAGGCCCCATTGCGAACATTTAGACACCAAAGGATCAAGCATGTTGCGGTTCATGACTTTCGCACAATAGAGGTAAAAAAAGTTACGAGACAATCAGAACAGCAGACTGAAGTGAAACCCAAGCCTTTCATTGGCTGCTGGTGTTATAGACACAGTTAACCAAATATTTGGCAAGATTCGCGTGATTTTGACACCGAGCTAACAAGAAAAGTGCCACGTTTGACATGCAATACTTTTCTTTGATAAGCTATTTAAGTATTAAGTAGCAGTTGTTGTTCAACCTTTATGCTGTTGTCCCACAAAATATTGACAAACTGAATTCTACATTTTCTCAATTGAAAGATCCAAATGGCATTATTGCTTTATTTGTCTTCATAACGACAGATGGTTTATGGACAAAGGTTTATGAATGTTCATGTATTGAATAAATCAGCAGGTAAATGAAAATATTTAATTATGAAAATAGTTCAACAACACACAGAAGTAAGTGTCTGGAAACTCTATAAAGAAAAAGTAAATTGAGTACACATCAGGAATGAAATTAAAATTCATATTCTGATATACGTTTTTTAAAAGGTCACGTGATGAAATAGAAGTAATACTTTGCAGATTACATAATATACCTTGTTTGCAAAAGTAAATCAAAATATTAACTTGAAACTTACATGTTACACCTTTTTAAAAAATCTGCAATAAAATCCATATAATTATAATTTACATTATATATATATTTAAATTTCATGTTTACAGTTATATTGTAGCTAGTTGTATTATGCTCTATGTGGCTGGTTTAAAAAATAATATTAATTGTTGATTCTTACCATCTACCGAAAAAACAAATCATGTGTACAATTCAAATCATATCAATAATTCACATATATAAGTTTAATCAAAGAGAGCTTGAAATTATTTCATTATCTGTTTAATTTCTGTCAGAAACAGAAAAAAAATCAGAACCACATTAAAAAATTTAAAAGGAAAATCTGAAATAAATCCCATCCAAACAGTTCAATAATTTGACATTCAGAACCCCTAAACAGAACCACATTCGATGATCTATTTAAAAAATCAGATATAAATCCCATCCTAAAAGTGAATAATTCAAAATTCAGAACCTCTTTGCAGAACATTTGAGAATTTAAAAAATTAAAAATAAATAAATCTCATCCAAATTTACATAATCCAAATTCAGAACCTCTCAGCAGAACCACATTCGATAATTAAAAAATAAATAAAATCAGAAATAAATCCCATCCAAAAAGTTAAATAGTCCCAATTCAGAGCCTCCAAGCTGCTTCCGATATGCAGCTATCAACATGATATAGACAATGAAATGGACCAGCCCTAGCTGCCTCTATATATTATGTAGCCCAGTGCTAGTGGTAAGGGTGACAGTTTCACGTAATTCACATGTAATCTACACGCCTTCTTTCAGCTGAACAACTATGTGTGAAAGCATTCCTTGAACAAAATCCATCAGTATCAACTGCACCTTTTGAAAAACACATTTCACAGACACTACTGTCTTGATAGCATCTTTAAAGGGTGAGACATACGCGCTTAAAATTTTAATTGGGTTATTTCTTAAACAACCGTTAACAGCTGCAGCTTCGAGTCATTATAAATAAATATAACGTTAGAGGCGAAATTTAGTCATATACATTCCATTCAAGCATTAAAAATCCGAAAAAAATATTATTCTGGAAAAAATATACATAAACAAAATTTTATCAAAATTTTGAAGAGAAATTTAATTTCAGATTGTCACAACAAGATTATTTTAAACAAAATACTAAATATTTATTCTGTGTAATTATACTCACCTATCAAAGAATTAAAAACACAACACAGTAAGATTTAGTTTCTCGGCCTCTCCTTCAAGAAGAATTCCTTGTGATAGGAAATTCCATGTCTTAAGTGAGAGAAAATTCAATTAGAGTTTGGGGTTAAAAAGCTGTGACACTTGAGGTTTAGTAAACAAGATAATATGGCGATCACCGTATTGCTAAACATCTCTGATCACTCACTGTATCGTCATGGTAACACAAGCCTTGACAGTAATTTACATTCCAATGAGAAAGTTTTTCCAAATGAATAAAAACCCATGGACAAGCATAACATTTTCTTTTGAAGCATCTACAACAGTGACAAAAAACCATACAAAAGATTAAATCTATTTCCCATGTCAGTGTTTCCACGACGACATATAGTGCTCATTGAGACATGTTTTCTTTGTAATATATCGCTCACACTTCTCCCCCTAATGCGAGACATATTACCTGTATAATGTTGTTTATGACAATACGCCTTTTACTTCTTCGTCACAGATAAACAGAGAGAACAAACTGATGGTAGTTTTTGTGAATGTAACATTCGGCTGTATTTCTCAATAATAATATCAACACTATTTATTCCACACACCGTGGTCTGTACATAACTGATTCCTGAACAATATCACTGAAAAAACAGTACTAATTGTACATAATACAACTTGTACATATAAAACAGATATCGACATAAACACAGAAATACAATTTCTCCCTGGTTATATATATGAAAGATTGTAATTAGAATTACATAACATACAATATTATCTTTCTTTTGTAACGTTTAACCCAGTTCCTTGCAAGCTTAATACAACTTGTACATATAAAACAGATATCGACATAAACACAGAAATACAATTTCTCCCTGGTTATATATATGAAAGATTGTAATTAGAATGATATAACATGTAATATTTGAAGATTTCTTTTGTAATGTTTAACCCAGTTCCTTACAAACTCTACCTATCTTTAGTGATAACTGAATGATATCACTGGTAAACAGTTCTAATAGTACTTAATACAACTTGAACATACAAACTAGTTATATAAATACAGAAATACAATTTTCCACCGGTTATATATGAAAGATTATAATTAGAATTATACAACATACAATATTTGAACATATCTTTTGCAAAGTTTAAAACAGTTCTTGGCAGGCTCTACCAATAATAGATGCAGTATTCAAAGTATTAAATGCACATTGGGCATGACTTGAATAAGATGATGGCTGGTGAAATCCAACCCATCCTACTTCGCTGTAACTTGACTAAGCCTATGAATAAAATCATTCATACAGCAGAGATATATTATACAGCAGATAAATTAAACATGGGAGGTACATCCTACTAGTAACTTCTGAACGAGTTTTGAAGTATTGTTCTGGGAACAAATGAGAGTTTTTACTGAATTTGGGCATTTATTATATCAATTAAAGTATTTCTCTTTTATAGAAATTCAAACTCGGCTGTTGGTCGGGAAGGCAAGCACACCATCTACAAGTCACCATTTTCCAATTTTTGAAATTAGCATGGGGTTAAAAATGTAGAGTTCTCCAGATTCAAGTGGTGTAGTGAGTGAGTGAGTTGAGTTTTATGCCACTTTTAGCAATATTCCAACAATATTATGGCGGGGAACACCGGAAATGGGTTTCACACATTGTACCCATGTGGGGAATTGAACCCAGGTCTTCTGTGTGACAAGCAAACACTTTAACCTCCAGGCTACCCCGACGCCCCTCAAGTGGTATAGTCATACAATCAATATTTGACGTATTGACACAGATAAGTGTCCAACTCTGGTTGTCTGAGAACTTGCTGGGGCATGAGACGTCTGAGAAGTGCTTTAGGGAATGAGGTCTTGGTCAAATCTTGATACAACTTAACAAGAATTGATCTCTGGGACGGTATAGCAGTCGAACATTGACATATCTGTCAGAATACCACAACATAATGACTGTCTTCTCTGGAGTGAGTGAGTATGGTTTTATGTCGCTTTTAGCAATATGCCAGAAATGGGCTTCACACATTGTACCCATGTGGGTAATCGAACCTGGGTCTTTGGCGTGACAAGCAAACGCTTTAATCACTAGGCTACCACCCCTGGGTCCTCCCTGGACTGCTGGGTAGATGGGATAGCCAAGTGGTTGAAGCGCTCGCTCGTCACGCCAAAGACCCAGGTTCGATTTCCCACATGGGTACAATGTGTGAAGCCCGCTTAAGGTGTCCTACGTCGTGATATTGCTGGAATATTGCTAAAAGCATCGTAAAAACATACTCAATCTGGATTGCTAGCCTCAGAACTCTCTCTGAACACAGAAATGCAGCACTCAATTAAAGTGAGTGAGTGAGTTGAGTTTTACGCTGCACTCAGCAATATTCCAGCTATATGGCGGCGGTCTGTAAATAATCGAGTCTGGACCAGCCAATCCAGTGATCAACAGCATGAGCATCGATCTGCGTAATTGGGAACCGATGACATGTGTCAACCAAGTCAGCGAGCCTGACCACCCGATCCCGTTAGTCGCCTCTTACGACAAACATAGTCGCCTTTTGTGGCAAGCCTAGGTTGCTGAAGACCTATTCTACACATCTTCATAGGTCCACTCAATTAAAGATTAACCAAAACACTGACCAAAGAATCCTCCTTAGGATACATCGGTCAAAATGTTTGAAAAATATATTGTACAGCAACATATGTCTATGCTTTGACCAGCCCATGAGGCATGATGTTGGTTAATACACTCACTATAGAGGTCACACACAATCTAAGTGAGAAATTGATTCTAATCCCTGGGAAATGTATAATCTGTTATAAACTGACATCGACACTTGTATGTCAATCTGGAAGTGATCCCTGTCCTGAGCTGTTGGACATGCTGGATGTGAAGCATCATACCCAGATTGTTGACAGAAATAGGAGGCAGCCTGTCAGACTAGCAGTAATCTATACAAAACCAACAGGTCCCATCTGTCCATGAGCTGGTCAACACATGACACCAGGGTGGTCAACGGGATCACTGGGCAGATCTGGAGGGGGTGAGTTAGTGTAGGGTAGGGCGCAAGTCTGGGGTTATAAGTGGATATTGCTGCCATGTCATTGGTTATGAAGTTATTCAGGATAAGGGTTGAGTGAGTGAGTGAGTGAGTGAGTGAGTGAGTGAGTGAGTGAGTGAGTGAGTGAGTGAGTGAGTGAGTGAGTGAGTGAGTGAGTGAGTGAGTAAGTACATGACCTACTGGTAACTTCTAAACAAGTATTGTTCCTTTAACAAATGTGGGTTTTTACTAAATTTGGGCATATATTATATCAATTAAAGTATTTCTCTTTTATGGAGATTCAAACTCGGCTGTTGGTGGGGGGGAGGCACGCACACCATCCACTAGTCACCATTTTCCAGTGTTTGAAATTTAGCAATGTTAAAAATGTTGAGTTCTCCAGATTCAAGTGGTATAGATAGTGAGTGAGTGAGTGTGGTTTTACTCCTCTTTTAGCAATATTCCAGCAACATCACGGCAGGGGACACCAGAAATGGGCTTCACACATTGTAAACCATGTGGAGAATCGAACCCGGGTCTTTGGCGTGAAGAGAGGAAGCTCCGAACACTAGGCTACCCCACCGCCCCTCAAGGGTTATGAGAGATATTTGGATTTAATTGAATTGTGGGTTTGTGACAGGGTAGAATGAAGAATAATTTTTTATGCTGTGCTATACAACCCCTTAGGGCACAGTACTAAGTCTCTATATTTCAGAGTAAATAAAATTACAAATATAAACAGTAAATATGTACATACACAATAAGCACTAGGATATACCTATCATCATACATGATATCCTATAGCATTTGACCGCCTCCGTGGTGTAGTGGTTAGAGCGTCCGCCCGGAGAGCGGAAAGTCGCGGGTTCGATCCCCGACAGCGTCATACCAAAAGACGTTAAATATGGTACTTGTTGGTCCCTGCCTGGCGCTCGGAATTAATGTGTACAAGGACTGGTCGGCTTGGACTCAGTATAATGTGTCTGAGTGGGGTATTCATGCTTCACTGCGGCATGGTATCTCAGTGGGCTAGCACTATAAAACCAGCTTCAGTCTGGGCTAGTACAAGCAGCCGCACATACACATACACATGCATGCACGTCGTCATATGAGCAAAATATTCTCAAGCACGACGTTAAACCCAATTTCACCTCACCTCACCTCTAGCATTGCCTAAAAGACAGGGTAATATCAGCGCGGAATATTATTTGCATGATACATGTACTCTTCTTCTTCAGAACAAGGATTTCATTACCTTTTAACCGTCCACTAAATTTAAATAGGTGAATACATTAAAATCATACTTAAAAAGTAAATGTTCATTTATTATAAGATACTTCAAACCATCACGCCAGACATATAAATAAAGTCTGTCACCTGAAATTCCTCTGCTCGTCCCACAAAACAGCTAACCTTACTAATACCCTTTTTATCACTGCTTTAATGGAGTCGCGATCCCATGCAGCCAACAGGTGTGTCGGCCAGAACAACAGGTCACGCTCACATAAAGATCTCGCAGAGACACTGCCCCAGTGTCTCTGGTCCCCTCGTACATCCACCCCACCATACAATTATCTCCCCACCCCAGGGCTACGGGAGCATGTTATTATAAACCAGCATAGAAAACACTGTCCACTCTTTGTTGTGTTTTTTCACTGATCTTATCCCCGGACTGCCACTGGATTTGTGGGGAGGGCAGAAACCTGACCCCTGGGGCTACTGCAGTAATCACCGGCAAGAGTAGGGGGAGAGGGAGCCAGGAGATAGGGCGGGGAGGGTTTTGACGAAAAGGGGTCTTGCATTTCACTGACCAGTAATTATATGTGATAGGTGTTTACAGGGGTGAGAGGAGGTGGGGGGTGGAGTGTCAGGGGTGGGTAGAGGGTGGGGTCGGGCACTTGGACAGGAGGCATTAGGGGTGGATGTTCAATACACCTCACTCAAGAACAGCAGGGTGCTTGTTTCATCTAAAGTAGATCAGTTGTTTAAATCCAGTCCTCTACAAAACCATCCAAATGGAAAAAACAACATTGAATTGGGTGAGTGAGTGATTTAAAAGGTTTAAACCTAATCATACAGTCATACAGCTCCATTATCAATCCTTAAGACTTAACCAACAATCCTCTTCAGAATCATACATTCAGAAACATCTCTACAAGATCTCACAGTCCTCATGTGCTGTTGCTGACAAGTGTTTCAGCTGTCTTGAACAATATGTCTATTCTAACATCATCACTATAATCTACATCCAGTCTGAGCATAAGTGATAAATTATAAAAATACCATATTTAACAACTGACATGTAAATTATTTATACTTTTCTTTGTATCGGTGTATAATGAATATCTGTGCCAAGTATATATCACATGTACTATGCTTGTATTATAGTTGCATACAACCCGTCACACTGTATATGGCAGCTTATTTCCAACAACAAAATACACCATGAAATGGAGTTCACACATTCTGTTCACTGTCTTACGTTTCTAAATGTGACATTTCTTACTCCATGATGATTGCTTTTTATGAAAACTAAAGAAATGAAATTAAAATTTAAATTCATAATTGATTTTTTTTTATACCTCATCACTTCTTGATTGCATTTAATTAACTGGCGACTTTTGTCAAATGCAGGTTAAATTTTGAAAATAAATGTCTACAATTCTGCGACCTGCTTGAAGAATATCCGTAAAGATGTTCTGTACGATAAACTTCGGATTTACTCTATGTACAGTGCAAATGAACTGCTACTTTTTTCAGTGAATGTCGCAAACAAAAACCCAGCAAGTTGTCCGCAAAACACCTATCACAACACAATCAAAAACTCCTCGAAGTCACCGTTCTGTTTCGTTGCTGTTATGTTGTATGCAAATCTGCTAAATATTCAACACACAGCCACATTAATACACAAAGAACGTTGAGCTGTACAACATTCTCCTCCAGTGGTGTGGTTAAGTCGTAGCCAAACGACTCATCTTCTAAACACAGCCCTCCCTACATATAACAGGGTGAGTACAACATTAGCACAGTCTGTTACTTGTACCAGAAAACTACTCCACATCTTACCATATAAAACAGTACACAAAATCATTTGATATATACAACCAGTATAGCATCATGTGAACTCTCATTTAAGAAAGGCTGACCTCAACTTTGTTCCTCTTGTTTTGTACAACCAACAAAATCAGTAATTATATTCAGAAAACGTAAAAAAGAATACATTATGTTTTAATAATTATGAGAAAACATACACCGACTTCCCACAAACTTAACTGCCAGGTTAAAAAGCGACAACAAAATTCAAAACTTTTTGCTTGCTATCAGGCTTAAGTTAAAGAAGTTTAGGAATATTTCATTTCAATAACTATCACCAGAACATTTCAAAATCTTCTTTGGTTAGTGTTAGACTAATTGTTTAACTAATCGTTTAACTAAATGTTTAACTAAATGTTTAACTAAATGTTTGGCTGTCAGTACAGTACAGCAGCATGGCGCCCCAATCTCAAGTGTGACACTGTTTGCCCAGATTTGTACAACCGATCTCATCAAACTTAAGTCGTTCGCATCAAAGAACCAGGATGAATAATGTAGAAAACGTATGTTTATCGAGCTTTTCATTCTTTCTAATTTAGATGAGTCCAATCCATGCTATATTTAGCCACCATACAAAACGGGGAATATCTCTCTGACCACTGCACTGTGGGTCAATCAGGGTCATGTCCGTACAACACTGAAACTCTATCCCACATCAGTAACCCAGGAGAAGTACATTAGCTACTGGTCATCGCTGGGAGGGGGTGGGAGTTGAGGGGAGGTGTGTGTTTGGGGGTAAAGGGGTTTAGTGAGGTTCAGGGCTGTCTCATGTATTGCTGAAACATTTTATTCATTGCTCCTCTAAAACAATTCCCTGCCACCCTCCCTATTCGTTATAATAAAGATCAGTCCCAAATAACCTTCAAATTTTTTCATTCATAATAAACGACAAAATTTGACTATAAATAAATACAAAACAAATCAGCTGGTTATATAAAGTAAGTTTTTATACAATCACAAGTCGTATATTTATTGACAAATTGTAAGAAAAAGCCCTGATTTAAACTAAAGAAACCATGTAGATATCTTTGTTGATCTGTTTTTTAAAGCAATATATCTTAAAATTCTTGTTTCAATTACACAAAAGGAAGTTGGAGTGCAAATCTTGTGTAAGAATGATATCTGAACTTTAATAATTTATCTCTATTGAATAATTCTTTCAAATAAATTAAAACTGTAATTTTTCACTTTTAAATAAAGTAAGCCGTGTTGGATAAGTAATATTCGATTACCTGTTCTCTATGTGCAGAAATTTATGAAATATATAAGAACCTTGTATCAGTAATAAAAAACTATTTGCTTAAATCAGACACAACCAAGTTAGATTTAATTTTGCTAATGCACTTGTTTAAATTTAAAAAAAATATTTGTAAAAATTTAACCACATTTACCTGATAACACGATAAAAGCGAGGAAAATAATTGAAACATTCTTTCCATTACATACAGGCAATACTCTACAAAGTAAAACTTATCTCTGAATCACCATTAATGGTTCATCTTTGAATTTTCTCCTCTAAGTCTACAAGTGCAACAACTTTGAATATCTCGCCAACATATTGTCAGAAAATTCATCCTGTTTAGACAAATATGATTTACCATTAAGCACCAATGCAATACTGTAGAACTATGATGATCTAAGTCTAGAAAGACAATTGTCATATCATAATCAATACGACTTCATATATTTCCTAGTAGAATCATAACATACACCCATTGGGACGAGGCAGAAATTACTTCCACACATGCATTTAAAGTTTTAAATCTTTTTTCACCCAAGGGTGTAAATTTTCAAACATAACTTGCCATTTCACACGCAAATAACAATATTCCGTTGCCGTGCATACCACCTATTTTCAGCAATTCTGATCAAGTTTCACATTAGTCTATGTTAAAGTTGACGAGAGTTCGAGTTTCCTTAACAAAGGAGTAAATAGTGAAGGTCATTTAAGTTGCGTTAAACCTCGCGCAGTCACAACAATAGGTGAAGCAGCGACTCTATGAAAACATGCACATAAAACAGTGTTGCGGTGAACCTTCACGATTGAACGACACCAGTGACTGTTGATAGTCTGCTATCGAGATACAGAATCACCGTCATGTCAATACCAGCAACTCCCAGCCCAAATGAAACCTGTGGGTGCTAACATGCAATAGTGGACATTAGAGCAGGCTGTCAATAACATATCTCTCAGTGTTCGCGTGCTTCAGACAATCTGTGCAGTTTTGATTGTTGCCAATTCTGACCAAAGAAAACTGGTTTACAATCCTTGTCAAAAGTCGCGTGTGTATTTTTAGCCAGATTGGTGTCAGTTTTATGTCTCCAACTCACGGGATGTTGTGGGTCTATCAGCTAACAGAGAGATCTTTCTCTGAGATTCACGATGCTCTGATAGTGAAATAAACACAAAACTCAAATAAATACATCACAAACACCCCAGGCCTCTCACTAAAACATCCCCTCGTTTTGACCCACTGGCAAACTCGTTTCTACTTTACAGCAACATCTAAGCTGTTTTTATAACCACTGTCTCATAAAAGTCATGACATTGGTTCACTGGGGATGAGTATCCTTGGTAATACCGTCTGACCATGATGAAGATGGACGATGAAACACATGCACTTACCCTCAAGGAATCAAAACAAAGCTGTCCATGTGTTTCCTCCTCTGAGTCTGAGCCTGTTCAACACACACTTCAGGTGCCACGACCTGCTCCAAACCAGTCAACCACGACCTGCACAGTTATCCAAAGATATCCACAAGATATAGTCAAGGCCTTGGATCACTTCTCAGTGAAATCGCAAGTCCCAATCACGCTGCTTGTAGCAGTATGTACGTTCCAAACGCAAACACAAACTCGCGTCTGCTCACGGCTAAGCTCCTTCCTCAGTGAACAACTCAAGAGCTCTGAGCGACCACACTGTCTGCATCCCAATCAAGGCTGCCGTTCACTCACTCTCTGTCTCTCCTACGTTCCGCTTCACTGATCGCTGACTGAACACTGCAGATTTGAGACTTGGTCAGCCAAGCACGTGCTGGTTTTTCGTTGATAGCTTCTCAGGTCTTCTTGGTGTGTATTATGTTCAGTATGAAGTAGAGGAGTTAGAACACATAAAACATATCAGAGTGTGAGAAGTCGATAGCTATCTTGAATACTCTCCCGATTGTAAAGTAATAGGCTTAGGGAGCGTAGAGGCGACACTGGCTATAGGTGTATACGCTGGTGTATAGAGTTCCCCTGCTAAAACATCAATGACAGTTTAGGTACACCGAGATGTTTGTATTTATAGAGCGGAGGACATCCTACATGATGTTTGTACATAGTTTGTATACAAAAGATAGGCATTCTTTGCCTCAGCAGTTCAAGCTGACTGTGGAGAGAGGTTAAACCACTGGTTTACTGTAAGGGACAGTCACTGGCTGCATCACAGCAATAACTTCAGATTTCAGTCACCGATTTGGGAGCGTCCTTTGAAAGCAGATTATAACTGGGAAATACATCTATCTACATTCCTTATGGAATGAACACACACACTCACATCTCAGTGTGGAGAAGTGAATCAAGACTTACAAATTCTGCATTAGGGACATCCAGTGAGAATGTATGGAACTACTCGTTTGACGAATCGATCTCAGGTTTTTCGAAGCAAGGAACAATTCCCCGAAGTACAGGACCAGCTCAAACAGAAGAAGTGCTTGTCAAAAATTCAACAAAACCACAAAGAAAATACTTTCACTGAACCTAAATCTTGATCCTAATCTGAGTAACGTGATCATAACTCCTAAAAATATAATTGCATCTATGATTCTTTAATCTGGAAGATTACACAGGTAAGGTGTTGTCCAGGGTAACAGATCTTCACTGTAATTCAGTGTTAAGGAAAAGAGTATTTTTTCCAAGTGCCTTATATATACTCATGTGATTTTATGAGATTATTTGCTGAAGTTACAACGTCCTATATTGACGACAGGTGTTTCAATGTTTATGATCTTTGTTTATGGCAATTAACTGGAACTGATTTGTTCTTAAATACTGAACAAAGAATGTCAGAGATCATGAATATTTTGGATATTATTTATGCTGTGAAAAATGAGTTTCCTTAAATGTGTATTATACATAAATATTTGATGATCCCAATACTGTGTTTGGTGTATGAATATATTTCATGTGTATAGTATATGATGATATTTCATGATCCCTGAAATGACTTCTTTGTTTGGTATTTTAGAAATTGGGACAGACAATATTGAACAAACTTTTTATTTTGTGAGTGCGACATTTCGATACAGAAACTTGTATCGTTATCAAGCAGACATACAATATCCCTAGAATCCATATGGTATATGAAGATATTTCATTATCTATAAAATGTGTATGGTGTATGAAGATATTTCATGATCTATAAAATGTGTATGGTATATGAAAATATTTCATTACCTATAAAATGTGTATGATATATGAAGATATTTAATGATCTATAAAATGTGTATGGTATATGAAAATATTTCATTACCTATAAAATGTGTATGGTATATGAAGATATTTCATGATCTATAAAATGTGTATGGTATATGAAGATATTTCATGATCTATAAAATGTGAATGGTATATGAAGATATTTCATTATCTATCAAATGTGTATGGTATATGAGTATATTTCATTATCTATAAAATGTGAATGGTATATGAAGAAATTTCATTATAAAATGTGAATGGTATATGAAGATATTTCATTACCTATAAAATGTGTATGGTATATGAAGATATTTCATGATCTATAAAATGTGTATGATATATGAAGATATTTAATGATCTATAAAATGTGTATGGTATATGAAGATATTTCATTATCTATAAAATGTGTATGGTATATGAAGATATTTCATTATCTATCAAATGTATATAGTATATGAAGATATTTCATTATCTATCAAATGTGTATGGCATATGAAGATATTTCATTATCTATAAAATGTGTATGGTATATGAAGACATTTAATTATCTATAAAATGTGTATAGCATATGAAGATATTTCATTATCTATCAAATATGTATGGTATATGAAGACATTTCATGATCTATAAAATGTGTATGGTATATGAAGATATTTCCTTATCAATAAAATGTGTATGGTATATGAAGATATTTCATTATCTATAAAATGTGTACGGTATATGAAGATATTTCATTATCTATAAAATGTGTAACGTATATGAAGATATTTCATTATCTATAAAATGTGTATGGTACATGAAGATATTTCATTATCTATAAAATGTGTATGGTATATGAAGATATTTCATTAACTATGAAATGTGTATGGTATATGAAGATATTTCATTATCTATCAAATGTGTATGGTATATGAATATATTTCCTGATCCCTAAAGTGGTATGGTATATGAATATATTCTATGACCCTGAAAATGTGTATGGTATAAGAAGATATTTCCTGATCCCTTACATGATGTTATCTCATAATCCCTGAAATGTGTATGAATTCTGAACACACTTCCTGATCCCTAAAATATTATTTTATCACCCCTAACTTTACCACGTAACGAGTGCTTGTGTGACATGATAGAAACTGGACACTGGAATTCAGTGATTTTTAACTTAATCATTTTCTTGAAAGATTAATGTTTGGCAGTATTTCAGTATAAGTCAGTGAGTGTTTTCATGTCACTTTTAGCTGGGGGACACCAGAAAGAGGAATTTACACATCATACCCCATTGTAAAGGGGAGTTGAACCCAGATCTTCAGCCTGACAAACTAACGCTTCAACCACTAAGATTGAAGTGTTATATCACATAAAGGGAACCATTACTATTCATAAAACTAACAACAAAATATGAAAATGAATACTGGTTAAAGGACTGACTGACTGACTGAGTTTGGTTTTACGCCACTTTTAGCAATAATCCAGCAACATCACGGCGGGGACACCAGAAATGGGCTTCACACATTGTACCCATGTGGGGATTCGAACCCGGGTCTTCGGCGTGACGAACCAACGCGTTAACCATTGGGCTACCCCACCGCCCCCTGGTTAAATGAAAGAATGAGTGCTGTTTTACTGCACCATCGGAACTATTACATAAATATTGCAGATAACCGCTAAATAAACTCTTGGGCAGACAAAACTGTGGCTGAGAGTTTGTTCAAAGAATTTAGACACCACTTCGGCAAACCCACGTGGTAGCGTGCTGACAAACCTAAGAACTAGAGCTAAGCTGGGAGATTCGAACCTAGGACTACAACTTGCGGAAATTGCGATCGGAAATTTCCAGTACATTAGTATGGTGCTGACGAACCCAACCCAACAATTAGGGCTAAGGTGGAAGATTCGAATGAATGACCCCAACTTTCAATACATCATAGTATACAGTAGTATGGTGCTGACGAACCCAAATCAACAATTTGTAAGTCTATGTTAAATTACAAGAGTTACGATCACCTTAGCACCATGATCTCTGGGTGAGCTGCAATAGTCAAACCTATGACAGCAATTTCCAGTACATCATAGCATACAGTTCTGGGACCAATCCTTCCACAAAGCACTCGCATCACTCTGACTGTCGTAAGTCTGTGTTAAAAGTACAAGAGTCACGATCACCTTAGCACTGTGATCTCTGGGTGAGCTGCGATATTCAAACCTATGACAGCAATTTCCAGTACATCATAGCATACAGATTTGGGACCAATCCTTCCACAAAGCACTCGCATCACTCCGACTGTCGTAAGTCTGTGTTAAAGTACAAGAGTCACGATCACCTTAGCACTGTGATCTCTGTGTTGAATATTCAAACCTATGACAGAGTACATCATAGCATACATGGGACCACCTTCGACAAAGCACACAGATGTGATCGTAAGTCTGGGTCAGCACTGTGATCGCTGGGTGAGCTGCGATATTCAAACCTATGACAGCACTTTCCAGTACATCATAGCATACAGTTCTGGGACCAATCACTCCGACTGTCGTAAGTCTGCGTTAAAGTACAAGAGTTACGATCACCGTAGCACTGTGATCTCTGGGTGGAACGGAGCCCATCACAGTAAAATGTGGCGACTGACGTCGACGTGGCCACCCGTACCTCCAAGCCCGGGCTGGAATCCCCGCAGGGGCTAAATGAGTCGACTCCCATCAGACAAGATGGATGAGCAAATACATGGTTGTTATTTTCAGAAAGGGATGCAACTGAAGTGACACTGAAAACGTATGTTTAACAGGCACGGGTTCATTACCAATGGCTTACATCAGAAAAAGGAGCACAGCCTGGTTTGTTCATTACAGAGGAGGAGAGGATCATGGCTGGAACCGCCAAGCCTGGCCCATCAGGGACATCCACTATTACACAACGTATACTCATGGCAACAGATTTTCGTACATTTATCGGGTCTGTTTATGCATTTTGCATCCATGAAACATGTAGCACCAATACACTGTTGCCTCTTGTAACCACAAGGTCACGATCAGACTTAACAATTAGAACATATATTACAGTAATTAATGAATGATCTTCTTTTGAAACCAGACCGCCTCCGTGGTGTAGTGGTTAGAGCGTCCGCCCGGAGAGTGGAAGGTCGCGGGTTCAATCCCCGACTGCGTCAAACCAAAAGACGTTAAAATACGGTACTTGTTGGTACCTGCCTGGCGCTCGGCATTAATGGGTACAAGGACTGGTCGGCTCGGGAGTCAGTATAATGTGTCTGAGTGGGGTATTCATGCTTCACTGCGGCATGGTATCTCAGTGGGCTAGCACTATAAAACCAGCTTAAGTCTGGGCTAGTACAAGCAGCCGCACATACACATACATACGCATGCACGTCGTCATATGAGCGAAATATTCTCAAGCACGACGTAAAACCCAATTTCACCTCACCTTTTGAAACCAAGTAATAAACACACTGTCACCTCTTGTAAGCACAATCAGATTGAATGAATCTAGGTTCAGTTGGTCTTCAGTAAACCATGATTGTCATAAGAGGCAACTAACGGAATCGGGTGGTCAGGCTCGCACCCCAATTGCATAGAACAATGCTCATGCTGTTGATCACTGGATTGTCTGGTCCAGACTCAAATATTTACAGACCGCTGTCATATGGCTGGAATATTGCTGAGTGCAGCGTTAAACAACAAACCAACCAACCAATCAAGGTATTGTCCAGGAGCTGTAGAATAATGACTGCTATAAAGTTCATTATCAATGAGTGAGTGAGTGAGTGAGAGTACGGTTTTACACCGCTTTTAGCAATATTCCAGTGGGGAACACCAGAAATGGGCTTCACACATTGTACCCACCCTGCTCCTCAGCGTGACGAGCGGACACTTTAACCATTAGGCTACATCATTGCTCCTTTTTCTCCGTGAGTTTTATTTCCAGTTTTGATTGTGGTTCTAAATCCTGGTTCACTTAGTTACACCATAGCCATGCCAGTGTGTTTCTCCAAAATGGTAAACAGCTGAGACTGGCACCACTTCAAGTTTTCCACCCACATAAGTTAAATTTGTGATGTTTAAAAAAGAATTCTAAAACAATGATGTACTGGTTTTATTAAAGCAATTTTTTAAAGACTTCATTTCTGCTGACAAAGCAAAAATAAGCAACATTCCACTTTTAAATAATTGAGATTACATATTAGATTTATATCTTAAAATATGTTTGATTTTGTCCATAATTCCCTACTATTAATAACAAGGCTTATCTCCCCTTACAAATAATAACTTTATAATACTTAGGGTATATCAGTAAGATTAGCATCAACATCTTTAGGCCATTAAGCACTGAGATTAATCAGAGGACCATATGCTATTCCCCTGGCAACAAGAGCAGAGGATTCAATATAGCATTAATTAGCGATAAATTCCACAAATTAATTTCTTTTTACGATTTAACAAAATGTGTGCTAAAGTGCATCCCATCTCAAGCGTGAAATTGAATTTAATCCAAATTTCCATATGTTTCATAAAATTATACAACCTATTAGCTGTGCTTAAGAAAAACAAATAAACAGAATAGAATAATAAACAAGTTAATCTGGGATGAAGGTTGTTTATTCCAGTGTTCACATTGGGACCTGCAGTGGAATAAACACATACTGACAGATTACTTTGATAGATTTGGGTTAATTCACAACCTGACAAATAACATTAAATACTTGACTGAGATGGAACAAAATTTTGTTGCTATCTGTCAATTTTCAACTTCAATATGTTGAATGTTAGTTAACAGATGAAAGATTTAAAAAAATTAAAACATATTTCATACATTACTTATCAAAATTCGATAAAATTGTCTCACATTAATAAAAAAATCCAAGCAAATTTAATTTTTTAAAAATGCCCTCTGGAGAAAAGAAAAAAACTTCAATACTTTCAATTCACACCCGTCACTGGGCGGTGGAGTAATATAATGGTTAAAGCGTTCGCTTGTCACACCAAAGACCCTGGTTTGATTTCCCACATTGGTAAAATGTGTGAAACCCATTTCTGTTGTCGTTGCCTTAAAACTAAACTCACTCACTCACTCATCCCCTGATTCTACATTAATCAGTCAGTGAGTTTAGCTTTACGCCGCACTCAGCAATATTGCAGCTATATGGCG